CAGCCGGAGCCGCAGGAGCCTATGAATCCGAATCCTAGAGGTACATTCCCCCGTTAAGCTGGCTCTCATTTATCAAGGGTCCCTATTAACCTACTGATAGATTAAGTCCTTATACCCAGCTATAGGGGAATCTCGGACAATACCTTTTTCTTCCGCACTAGTTCTTCTGCTTGTCTTTTTTCTGGTTCTTCATTCATCCTTGGGGGCAGGATGTGTGAGTGAGGGGGGTTAGAAGGAGTTTCTCTGATCGTTAAAAGTGTCTAAAATTGTATCAAGTCTTGCGAATGATCCTATTACAGTATCAAGAATCGTCCCTTCCGCAGAGCGTTTGTTTTGTACGGTCTCCTTGGTCAATTTTGGGAAGGATGGAAAGGCACTAGTACTAGTACATGTACCGGTACATGTACCATGGCATGGTGGGTGAATTACCGTTTTCAAAAGCATCTCCAACTCTGCCAAATGGCCTGTTACTTGTAGCGCCGACAGTCGCACTATTTCCTTCATTAGATGTAGAGCGAGTACGAGTAGAAAAATGAGGCAGAGCCTCTAATAGTGGCCCTCGAGCATCTGCACTACTTTACCGTATTGATTCTTCCAGTTGAACCGAAAGGGACTATACCAGCTAAGCAGCGTCCGACTTCCGGATACTTTTGGAAACGGTGGGTACGAGTACTGGTATATTGCATTGCAAGAATATTTCAGTCCAAGTTACATGGGGCAACAGACTTTCCCGTGAACTTGAGGTATGGTAGTAGCAGAAAAAATTCGCCTGCATCATATTTATCATAGTAGACCTCCAGGGATTTGCTATTGTAGAAATAGGGTGCTACTAGAAGCTTTGCGATTCCGCATCCAGAGTCAAATCCTAGCGATCTCGTTGGCGGACCCACATCTGGAGACCCCCCGCAAAGTCTCTAGTGGAATTAAAGGTTGAAAAGTGAAAATTTTGGTGAGAGTGAAACGGGTGATACAATCTACACACTGCTGTGCTGAAATATACTGTGGAGTGGGCGTGGGTGGGGTGGGGTAATGAAAAACTATGGTCTGAAGACAAAAGGTTAGTACAAGGTTATGGAACAGTTATTTGAGGTTAACCAGTTAAACGTATTACTGGTTAAGGAGTTCCTACCCTTATACAAGTGCTAGGGATAATGTTTTCGCACAGTTAATTTAGGTTAACTAGCAAGATAATCCCTGTCTTGTACGAAAACATCTCCCCGGGCACTTGTACAGGTAGGGTATTGCTTTGCTTGGTTCAGTGTATAGAACTTGTCATCTCTTGTCATTGCCGGATCGGTTGCAACGGGTTCCACCGGAATTCCGGATTCATCGGAGGTCCCACCTTTGTGGTAGATGCTTTGCACCATACGAGTACCTATGCGGCTGCGTCGCTTGCCGTCGGACAGGGATTACTGGAGCTTCACGGTGAGCGTACCGGTAAATAGGGTTTCTCGGAGAGAGCATACCTGACCATGGCCGCAAACGGCGCGGGTGAGGACGGTGATCAATGTGCTGCCCGCCTTACAGGCCGCGCCATCGGCCAATCCCCACTGAACAGCTTTCCTTCGTGTCGATAGCTGGATTGGCTACCAAATCTTCCGACAGTACTCGAGTATGCTTTTTTTCTGGTGACCAAGAAAAAGTCTTGGGGATCTAGCCCAATTTCCAAGCAAAGGAACGCGGGAGAACCCCGCTTTTCAATTGCTTGTAGTTTATCAAAATCAAGCACACCTATCCCCATAATTTGGGTTTAAGTTATCTGTGTAATGCCTCGTGATTAAGTTGAAGCTCCCTCAGCACTAACTACACATGCTGCAAGTTTGTAGAGTTGTGCTATCGCTTAGAAA